CTGTCGCATTTTCGGCATTAATCATTCGAGAAAACAAAAAAGAAACAAACTTGGGTAGGAAGATAAGACTGATGACAAAGATTACAGTAATGGCACGCGTTCAGGGGTCCAAAACGAAAAGCTGGTACGCGTATGGTACCTTCTATGTGTCTGTGTGTTTGTTTGAGGTCATCAGTTCGTGTGAGCAGAACACCCTGGCTTCTGGCATCCGCTGCGTTCATAGCTTTTCATCGCTTAGGCTGTAAGGCAATAGTTGCATACTACGCAGAGGGAAACGTTTCCCTCTGAAAGCCTCTAAGCAGATCTGCCTTTAGCTCATTTATCCGTGTTGTATGCCGGCATGTTTTGGTTCTCACTTTATATGCTGGTGGGGCTGTAAATCCCCCCCCCCCATTTACTGCCCTCTGCAGTACGACTATATAACTTCATCAAAACTAGATCTCGTAGTACCGTTCCCTTTTCCTACTGTGCGGGAAATTAACCAAACAGGCGAAGGCTCCTAGGTATTTTAGTAGCTTAAGTGTGACTGTGCATCTCAGATCATTTTTCAGGTGAAAACAATGATTTGCTCGCCACCAACAACGTTCATCAAGTTGAAACTCATTATATGCCTTCGCATAATATTACGGATTTGCACGTCGGAGAATGTAATCACAGGCTTGTGCTTAAGTCGCCTACCACAGCAGTGCGAAACCAATTGGATTTAGCAAAAGATTCAAGTAGTGAGGCCCGTCTAAGTCGCATTGTCGAGGAAAGGGCTGCTATCGAAAAGTTACCTTAAAAAAGTCTAAAAAGGATTATTCAAGAACACGCCACTTGTCTGTGGCAGAAAATTCGCAGCATTGGCCATTGAGAAAAAAGAATGAATGTGAAGTTCTCAGAAACGAATGAAAACCGAAAGATATCGAAGCGACGGTGATGAGGTAAGGAAGGGACGCTTCTACTGTTCTTCCGTCACGACTTTCGCCGAACCTCCACTGGTGACCGAACAACGACCAATGCGAACACATAAGAACGATGCGCACGTGCGACCTCGGACAAAACTCTCGTGACAGATTCTCTTAAAACAGTAAAACATAAGCAAAAAAGTGTGATGTGGGAAATCATGATGGCCAAGGGGGTGAAAGAGAGGAGTTGCGGGGTCTATAGCTCATTAAAAAACAATGAGAAATGAACAAACCGGGCAGAAAAATCAAAACACTTTCTTCGCAGAAGAAAATCAGGTTCCTACGGAAAGTCAGCTATGGAAAGTAATGATGATCAGTACGGTAAAAGAGACGATCAATTCTGCATGACAAAATAAGATCACGGTGTCTGCCGAGTGCTCCCCTTTTGGCTCCGATTGCCTCTGGCATTTCTGTACAGACCCTGCAGTGATAGGTGCATGACTCTTGTATGATATGCGTGTATCCGCCTGAGTCCTTTCAGCTAATGACTTTGCCAAAAGCGGTGGCTGCTTGAGTCTGTCCGTCGAGGTAGTAGGCATGCTCTACCAACAGAGCTCACGGTTCTTGTAGTCACCGACGTGTGTTCATACCACTTGAAGGATTCACCGAGATCCTGGTCAAGAAGATTCCTTTTGCCTGGTGGTTCAGGAAGCTGCAGATCGTCGTTTAGCATGCAAGGACAGAGTACTCCAAAAGCTCTGTAAAATCTTACCAGATATGGACCACGAAGGTCCTTTGAATTTCACTTAGAGATGGGAACTAATATAAATTTTGCTCGCCAGAAATATATCATATCTTCATCAACTTACACTTAGTGTTTTTGTGTTTTCGGCAGAAACTGATGAGAAAGCAGATAACTACTGTGGCATTAATATGAGCATTGTGTAGGCGAATTCTTCCAGACTTTCAAACGCCTGTCAAAAGTTTGGACTGTAAGAGGAATAACAGTCTTACAACTGCTCACTCGCACAGACGAGATCGTAAAAGACTGGTATGGTTAGTTCATTTGCAAGGAAACTGTCAGACCCCACTGGTTGATCTGCCGCTGACGTGTTAGACGAAACATTCAACGACGAAGGATCATTGGCCGGTACATCACGTGATATTGGAAACTAAGCGAGATCTGCCTCGATTACGAATCTCTTCCTCGCTGATGCAGTGAACAGCTGTTTATATAGAAATGCGCACATATTAACAAACCTTAAATTGCCTGCCGTCTTGCAAAACAGCTTAAGTCGAGTATGACAAGACAACAACGAATAACGACCTTAATGCTGACTTGACAGGAGAATGACAGGTTTTTGAATGAGGCAAAGACAGTTGTTCTTAAGAAGGACGAAGAACGATGGCTGAACTGCGCACTGCAGCGTCGCATCGACGCATGATGATGGTCAAATCTTAGGATGAGGAAAGGAATGACACAATCGTTTGCAGGGCGGAGGTGAGATGGCCCCTCCGCAGATGTAGAGATGACGAAAAAGAGGTCGTCCTGCAGCATTTGCTCGTTTGAGAGCCGAAATACGCTAGACGACATGAAGGAATGAGAGAGTACAGTGGCAGATCTTCCTCAGGAAATAAATATTTCCTTGCACGTGTCCGACCGTCTGCGGGCTTCACAAGTTAAGAGACGAGACGTTATGCAATTACAATATGTCAGATGAATAATTTCTACCAACGAGGGAAGGAAGCAGGGATGAAACGGAAGTTTGTGTGAGCAACGGCCGAAGCCATCAGCACACAGCGATCGGGTAATAATTTTCTAAAAAATGTTCAGGTACAGCAAACAGGGACGCCACAATCACTAAGTGAACACGAGTAAAGGAACAGGCAACCGAAACCAAAACCTAAGTTAAAGCGGAACGGAAAAATGAAACCATGGAAAGAAACGAGTTATTACCTGTTCGAAGGTGAGGAACGCCTGCGACGGTTGCATCATGCTTGAACTATTGGCGGCCGCGGTGCTGATGCTGCTGCTGCTGGTGGAGGTGGTGGTCGTCCTGTCCTTCACCTTGGCC